AAAACCCGCATTGACCTTTTATCTAATAAATGCATCCCTTCCAAGAGTTGGGACTTGTTGCACGTATTAGCTCTAGATTTACTACGGTTATCCGAGTAGTAGGTACCATCAAACAAACTATTACTGATTTAATGAGCCATTCGCAGTTTCACAGTCTGAATTTGTTCATACTTACACATGCATGGCTTAACCTTTGAGACAAGCATATGACTACTGGCAGGATCAACAAGGTATCATTCCTCAATGCACCTTGACACGCCAAAACCGAAAGCGAACTCAACACATCATAGGCGGTCATACGGAGGGAAACACAATCACAGAAGTGAAGGTGAAGCCAATAATGAACCAGGGAACCCTGGGACAAAATACTTAATGGGCGGAATTAGGCCAACAGAGAATTCTTAACCAGTGCCCGTTAGTGTACCAAACCCGAGTACTCAACAACAACCAATGGGCCAAAACTTTCCGGGAAAAAGCCAACAGATAGTGTACCACAAGCAGTGCCATGGCGTCAGTCGAATGCCAACCCTTTGGTTCCCACACGAGCAGGCACACGACAGAACTCAGCAGTTAGAACGTAAGGATGCCACCGAAAGGGTACAGAACAAAGGAAACCATTGCAAACAAAGGCGGAGCCCACCATATTGAAAAGGCTTTCACGGCAAGTTTTCGCTGCTACAGCAAGGATCAAACCTGACCATGAAAACCAAATACATCTCACACACAATTACGCATCGCAAACTTCATACACACCGCACAACCCACCAACATACCAAAGGCCAAGTTTTTAACTCAGCAGTCAGCCCACCAACGAATGCCTGGTGCCCAAGTTTTACTGTTCAAGTTGCGAATGGAGATTCGAATTGTCTCACTTATTTGCTCGATTTTTGGGAAGTTCTTGTGTTGTAATGTTCTTGTTGCTTCATTCAAACCCATGGAAGGGATGTTTGGGGAACTCGAATTTGCCCTTGATGGGGACTTGTTTCTGTGAGTGGTTAGGTTCTGTGTTTGCTGGTTTGCTCCAATGAGCCACTGCCGGTTGTGCTCTTGAAGGAAACCAAATAATGCCTTTATTGTGGTGTGTCATGTTTGTGCTGGTCTTGAGGAGCTGCTGGAAGCATTGAACTGAATAAAATGCTCTATTGCCACATGAACTGATGGGACTGCTTTGGACTATTCCTGCAATAGTTTTTTGCTTCTAATGGTGAAATAATTGTGAGTAATCTTGTGCTGTCTTGAGGCCATGGAACTACAAATTTACTGCTATTGGGCAGTAACTGGGCAGTAGTTTCTTGATGGGTCTGGGTTCATTTTGAACGTGACATATTGAGTCCATTTTTGGGGTTTTGTTTTGGTTGCTGGACAGTGCTGTGTCTTATGGTTTTGTTATGCTGTCCATTCCTTTTCGTGCTGCATTTGTCACTTGACAGAGGGAAGATGCTGTTAGTTCCATATTGTGTTGGCATTATTTTTTGACAAACGAATGGATTTATCTAGAATTATTTTAGATGTTTTATTTAGACTTAGAGTCCTAGCATGTGAAGGAAGAGGAAGAGGAAAGAGCTTGAAGAGAGAATTCTAGTCCTACTTGGATTCTAATCCTATTTGGTTTACAATTCATAAGGAGGAGGCCATGGTTGAGAATCCTAAGCACACTCTAACATGGCTATTCTATTCTATTAATATCTTCACCCTCCCTTAGAGTTTTGGACGTGCAAAACTACGAAAAACCAGGAGCAAATTCGATCAAAAGAAAAACACAAGGTGCAGATTTTGAGACTGTAAATTCTCTGGACAGCCCGCACAGATTTGATCATCGCCGGAGATCCGACCGTTGGATTTTGCTGAAATTTTCAGAGGGTGTTCTCAACACATAGAGCTTCAACTTGTTAAAATTTCACGTCAATCGGAGTTACGGATTTTCTGTTATCAAAGTTACAATCTACACATTGTTACTGATTTTTTGCAGAAAACGCAGCCCTGGTTTTCTTGTTGGTTGGAGTACCAAATCTTGTCTGATCGTGCTAAAATTTTAGGAGGAGTCTAAGGACTCGTGGAGCTTCAATCTGAACGGTGGAGATCGAATTTCAACGGTTCAATCTCGAGTTATGAGCTTCTGAACATCCTGCATATTTTTGTAGATCAAGAAGAATCTTTATTTGAAGGTCGATTGGAATCTACGTCCTTGA